TTTATGCAACTTTATTCTGCAACTTTAACGTGCTTTACATGAAGTTTCACGTCCGGGCTATTTCAGATGTACTATTCAGAAGAAACTAGTCAAACCTAAGTGGCTAAGCAATAACAATATTTGCAATGTCTGTAAGAAATTTACAAAACCCACGTTCAGGAAGGCGTCAATATCTTATTACCTACTCACAAACCGATATAAATAAGTTCCCCACGAGAGAGAGTTTTGGTAAAATGCTAGAGAACGAGTTCAATGCAGGGACCAGTCAAGTTAAGGTGTCACATTGGGCCTGTTGTAAGGAGGCACATGAAGAAAATGGTTTTCATTATCATTGCTGTTTAAAGCTGACTGGAGTGAAAAAGTGGTTGTCAATTAAGAACGCAATCACAAAAAAATATGACATAGTGGTTAACTTCTCAGACCATAATCAATACATATATGCGTACCGTTATGTCTGTAAAACTGACAAGGATGTTGCTCATAGTGACAATCATCCAGACCTTTCGGAAGGAGGATCTCCACGCACTAAAGCTTCAACTTTAGCTCTTTGCGAAGCGGGCCGAAAAAGAAGGTCAACCAATAGAAACACGGAGGCGACAGCCAGTCGTGAAAGAGGGAATCAGAAAAAACGGCGTCTCAGTAATCTTGAAGTGGGTGATTTAATTGTCGCCAACAACATCACCACCGTGCAACAGCTATTTGCTAAAGCTGATGCCAGAAAGCAGGAGGGCGAATGTGATCTCGCTAATTTCTTGTTCTCCCAAACGGAAAAATCCATTGCCGAGCTAATGAGCAAGTCGTGGTTGCTCAAGCAAGCATCTTCAGAAATACAGCGAGACAGAATCACAAGAATCGAAAAAGTTAGGAATGCAGCGGGAAATGCATGCGTTGATGGGTGCAACGGTAGTTGGCTTGAGTGTGCTAAAGAAGTGCTTGCGCTGAATGGAATAGAATTACCTGTTTTTGCCTCGTGCATATTTGAGCTTTTAGCTCGAGGTCGGGGGAAATTCAGAAATCTGATGATCTACGGCCCAACCAACTGCGCCAAAACGTTTATTTTGAAGCCTTTGAAGCGCATCTTTGACGACCGGCTGTTTGACAACCCTGCGAATGACAAGTACGCTTGGGTTGGTGCGGACAAGGCAGAGGTGATTCTCTTACAAGACTTTTGCTTCAGCAAAGAAGTCATCACATGGAAAGATCTCCTTCTCTTACTTGAAGGAGAGACAGTTAAGCTACCTGCTCCAAAGAATCATTTTGCCAGTGATGTTGTCATATATGTCCCTATTTTTGCAACGTCAAAAGCTCCTTTAGTGTATAAGGGCCTTAACGTGGGAAGACGAGCGTGAGACAGAGATGATGAACAGTCGTTGGAGAATGATCCGCTTCAAACATGCATTCGAGGAGAAAGATCAAAAGAAGGTGGAGCCTTGTGGAAGTTGTTTTGCTCAGCTTGTACTATTTGGAGAGAAGTGAGATCAACATTCGAAATAACTTGGTGCAATAATTTTGGCTCACTGAGGAAAAATTTAAACGGAAATATTAAAACAGTTGTGTTTGACTATATGATTATGTTATATACCGCGTGATAATGTGCTTTGCACGATCTGATCGAGTTACCAACGAGTTACCCACGAGTTACCCTAAAAATCAATATACATTTCACTATAATATAACGAGTTACCACGAGTTACCGCAAAAAAATTAGAAAACAATATTAATTTTTTTTTAATTTTTTAGCGGTAACTCGTGGTAACTCGTTCTATTATAGTGAAAAGTACATTGATTTTTAAGGTAACTCGTAGGTAACTCGTTGGTAACTCGTTCGTTATATAACACTTTATTACTAATAAAGTTTATATAGCAATATAGATTACATCGATATCGACATCAGTTTAAATTCCGTAGGAGATTAGACATTACAATTGTCAGAAAATTTAATATTTAATACGTTGTCCTTTTGACTTTATCACCATGTCAATTCGTTTGTCCATGGACTCAATTGTCCTGTCAATAATGTCTGGCGAATAGTTCAATAAGGTTGCTTTAACCCTTGCACAAAACTCTGAATATGTCTCTTTCGTGATTCGTTTGCTCAAAGCATCATCTTGCAATTGCCTTTTAACATTATGAAAAACGTTTTCAATGGGATTCAAGTCTGGACTTCGAGCAGGAATAGTGAACTTTCTCGCGCCAACAGCAGACATTGCTAGTTTAGCTTTTCGGCTGTTTTGGCTGGGATCCCCATCTTGCAAAAAGAGCTTGCCTTTCTTGTTGCAGCTGTTTTCAAACAGAGTCGAAAATTGTTCTCTGACAAAATCTGCAAACTTTTTACCGTTCAAGTGTCCTTCGTATTGTTCAGCTAGAATAACTCCTTTACTATGCGCTATCGCAACAAAAAAATTTGCCGTTCTCCCCCCACTGCCTTCGTGGGATCCTTTTGACGTTTGGTTATGGCTAAGGCCATCTGAGGGTTTTCGCCAGGCCATCGTCCTTGGTGCCAACGATTGATCGTGAGGGTTATATTTGTGAGTGAAACCAACTCCGTCCAAATAAAACGACACGTCTTTAGTCCACACATTTGGATTCAATCTTTTGCGAACTTGCTTTGCAAACTTGAGCCTAATTGTCAAATCCTTTCTGCTAAGCACACCCTTCTTACGCGAATGAGTGTATTTAAATCCATTGGCTCTAAGGACGCGTCTAACTGTCTCATCTGACACATCTGTTGGTATGCCAGCAAAGACTTTGAGTCGTTTTGTTGTGAAATACCCATAATCTCTTCGTAGTATCTCGACTTGTCGCAATATGTTGCGTTTGTCTCGTTTTGTTAGTTTCTGAGGGCGGCCTTTGTTTTGTTTTCTTTTGTCGATAACAGAGTCCCCGATTTTTCGCTTCATGTGCCTGCAAATAGTAGCCTTGGAATACTTGTTATAATCTTTCGTATTTGCTATCTCTTTCCACGTTTTCTTTCCATCTTGGTGAAGATAGCGCCAGTGAAGTGAAACGATAAGTGGAACTCGTTGACGCTTGCTTACGGGCTTCATTTTCGTACTTTCCCTTTCCCCCAAATTATCACTTTTGCTACACAGGTAGTGGAAACCAACATTGGGTCAATGGATCCTTTCACGATTTGCTTTGACACCTTTGCAAAGTCATGTGGCCATGCCACCATAACTTCTTTTTGTTTGTTCCAGCCAACATTTTTTAATGTACTAGCATCTTCATGACGAAACCAGAATGTTTCGCCAATCTCACAAGACTTTTCATCAATAAATTCTAACAATGCATACTTTATTTTGAAGAAAAATCACTCCAAATGCTGCCGATAAAGGTGAGATATGATATTTGAACTTTGAAACCAAATTAGCATGAGCAACGCTCACTGCATCCTAGCTCTGTTGCTCTCCACAAAGGCCCTGGGATTTGCTGTTGATCTTCATCAGAATTCCTACAAAGAGATTTGGTTGCATAGAATAGAATCAGGCTAAAATATTAAGAAAACATTGTGAGCACAAAGAATGCAAATGCATGTATTGATGAGACAGAAATTTTTGAAATTTTTGAATGAAAAATTAGAAATTTTTCACTAACCAAGACTAATAATTCTAACATAACATTAAAAGGAACAAAAAGATGCTATTCGTCATATTAATAATGGAAGAGATGTAATTGCCATTCTACCCACGGGGTTTGGGAAATCTCTAATATACCATAATACCAACTTTTGCCATGTTAATTCGACTTCATTAAAGGGAAAGAAGCAATGTTTCTGCCGTATGGCCAGAAACAATTGTTATCGTAATTTCCCCATTAAACACTCTATGGTCGATCAAATCAAGAAGGTAACAACTGTTACAGATGTAAAGGCAGGTGTTTTAAGCCATGATGACGATGTGATTTGATTACATAATCTGTGGCAGCCAGAAGACACCTGAAAAGATAAATAATGTGATTGATTTATCATCATCATCCAGGGTTGATAATTCAAATTGCTTTGAGAAATTAAATTGCACTTACAATGTTGTTTGTACACAATTAAGATCAGGCAGAGGTTTTATTCAGGGTTGCCAGGTCTTTTGGGACAGAAAAGGCCAAACCGAATATGAAAATAAGCCAAAAAGAGCCAAACTCTAAATTATGATGAGGGGATTGGGGAGAAGTCTATCATACCGTTCCGTTTTGACTTCCAATTTACACCCAAAATGCTGTTATATTATTTATGAAACTTTATGAAACTACAAATTTACCAGTTTTTGACTTTGTCTTTAACTTAATTTTATTATAATGGCCCAGTACATATAGTTTCGTCTACTTGTTATTCAAGTGACTCAACAGTCTCAACTTTGACATCTTTGTCATTCAAAGAATTGGTTGCTTTCTTATATATATCCTTTGTAAAAAGTTCCAGCATTCGTTTAGATGGCTTCAGGTCTTTGCAGCACATTTCTCTAAAATACAGATGAGTACGGATTCTGACGATCGCTTCAAGCATGGAAGGGCTCATCTTGTTGGGGCATTTTGTCTTGATTCCCGTAACATAAGAGAACATGCGCTCTACCACAGCATTGCTTGTTGGTGCATTGGTAGGTTAGTCAAAGAAGCACGCCCAACTTGGTTTAGAATATTGGAAGGATGCAGATGAGATAAGCCTTTTAAAACGCAACCTCGTTCCCAGGCTCTTTACTCGTGGGGGGGAGTAAAGACCCTGGCTGGAGCTGGTCATGTGGCACCCCGATCAAAATTCATCCGGTGGGGGGTATTGTGAATGATGCATTTCCTGTAGAGCCTGTTCGCGGGTTTGTGTAAAAATTTCCAGCTTTTGAGTGGCATGAGTGCGTTGTTGAAATGTATCGGATTACTGATCTCCAACTCTTCAACAAAGACAAGTTGTCATGTTGGACCACATAGCTTTTCTTTCGTGTTTGCAGTTTGCGATTTCTAATAGTATTTACGGCAATAACAACTTGAAACCAAAGCAAGTAATATGTTTAGAATATATGTATTTAAAGCGCGATGTTATTTGCGTTCTTCCTACTGGCTATGGAAAATCTTTAGTGTTTCAACTGCTACCTGGTTTGATGTTCGCCAAAGAAAAACTGCGAGATGTTTGTCTTCGAGATATTGATATTTCTGTGGCAGCGACTATAATCATCGTTGTGTCACCGCTTAATGCGTTTATAAGCAACCAGATCTCCCGCCTTGGCTCAACTGGTATAAGAGCATCAGTACTTGGCATTAAAGTTAACCAGGAAGAAAGCGAACATGACCCCCTCGAATGTGATCTACAACATGGCGAGGATAATAAACTACGAGCGGGTTTTTATCACATTGTATTTGCACATCCTGAATCTTTTGTTTCATGTAAATATGGGCGTGAATTGCTCAAGAGCCAGACATACCAAGACAAAATTTGTGCTATTGTAATTGATGAGGCTCACTGCATACTGGAATGGTAGGTTTGTGCATATTTATAGTTTATCAAAAAAGAAAATAATTAAGTATGTATCATGGCATTAATTGCTTCTATTCGATAATATGTTATAGGGGGAGAGAGTTCAGAACTGACTACAGCAAACTGGGAGTTCTGTGTGCAATTTTTCCAGATGTTCCTGTACTTGCAATGACTGCAACTGCAAACAATGAAGATAGGAACTGTATAAAAGAGTCACTGGGATTGAAGGACTGCAAAAATGTCATTGGTAATCCAGACAGAAAGAATGTTTTCTACAAGAAAATTTTCAGGCATGGAAATGATATGGAGTCTTGTGAAGGTATCTTGCAGCCAATTGCCAAAAAGCTATTAAAGGAGAAGACTAATCATCCCATTACAGTAATTTACCTTCCATTAAAGTTGTGTGGATTTGCCTACAAACTTTTCGAACATGTTTTGGGGAGTAGGCAATATTACCCAGAGGGTTCCTTGAAAATACCTGAAAATAGGCTATTTGCCCAGTTTCATGCCTCCCAAACAAAGATTATGAAAGAACAAATCCTTAATCAGGTCTGCTCTGCTGAAAGCACTGTACGTGTAATTTTTGCAACAATTGCTATGGGTATGGGGGTGGATATACCATCTATACGGCATGTCATCCACATCAGTCCACCATGCAGCATTAAGGCATATTTCCAGGAGACCGGAAGAGCTGGAAGGGATGGAAAGCATGCACAAGCTCTGTTGTATTACAACAACCATGATAGTGCGAGGAACAGAGTGGGAATGACAGATGAAATAAGGCAATTTTGCAAAAGTGAGAGTTGTTTAAGAATTCAGATGCTACATGCACTTGACTTTGACAATTCATATCCTATTGAGCCAGTTCATCTTTGCTGCAACATGTGTGCCAAGAAATGTTCATGTGAAGAATTTCACTTTAGTGCTAGCCTAGTTGGCCAAAAACTTTAAAAATGGACAAACACATACAATTTGATAGAAGTAACTGTGCTTATTCATGTAACATTAGAGAATGAGTGACACAAGTCTGATATTTTACATTACGATTATTTACATTCTAAGTACTTGTGTAATATAAGAGAAAACATACTCCGAAAATAAACATCTTGTGAACTCAAGATATGAGCTGTTAAAAAACAGGATACTATATTCAAGGTGATATTTTGACTCTATTTCAAAGTCATTGTCAGGTTTGACAATTACTTTGAAATAGAGTTGAAAATTGTGTCTTGTTTTTTTAACAGCTCATATCTTGAGTTTACAAGATGTTTTTTTTCGGAGTATGTTTTCTCTTATATTTTGCAAAATTGTCTGCTGGAAAAGGTTTTTGTGCTTGTGTAAATAGAGTATATTAATTACTACATATGTACAATTAGTGCATGTCTAGTATTTAAGATGTAGAGTGTATTAAATGAAATTCTGTGGCAAGAGAGCCTGATCTATATAAGGGTTGAAAGAATTTCAGAAAATTCAAACAAAAGCAAGTCTAGACAAGTGCTTTCTAGTTTTGCAAATTTTGAGCATAATCAAAGTGCAAGAATCAAGCTGCCTTACATTGAACTCCACTTAGAATATTCTTTGTAGATATATCTCTCTAGCACATTTGATTATTGTCTCTCAAAACTTGTAACAATTTAATATTATTTTTATTAATATTATCTATATTGTAACAATTTAATTAAATAATGACAGGTCACACTATGCTCCACAAGCTGTCTGTCCTAAACAGGCCAAAATGTTTGCAACTTTTCAAATAATTTCTGAATCAGTGATATCAGAATCGGAGTCTGCATCAATTTCCTGAGGAAATTGCTTCAAAATGTTATTTTTATGTCTATTTACCCACTCCTCAAATTTTTCTTCATCAAATGAAGCGGTTGGGTCATGTGAAATGTCCTTAAAGGATTCAAATTGTCTTCCATTGACTTGTTTGAATGGTCTCAAGCTTCTTAGGTCAGCAATGATTGTACTTTCATCTTGCATTGATGATTTGTGGGTGTGTGAGGAGGCCTTGCGTGGTTTTCTGATCTGCTTGTTGAATGCTTCCACAATTTTCCTAGTTCCTCCTGAAGCCTTACTGGAACGGTGTATTGCCTTGTCCGTTTTGTTAGCCCCCATTGACTTTACCATAGACTTCATGTCCTTATTTCTGTTCTCCTGGAACAAATCAATTTCTACATTCTTTCCCTCTCCACCACTCCAATTCACAGTTGCTGCCCATGTGCATTGGTGTGCTTCAGCTGGTGACAATAGGATTTCCCTTTGCATAATTGATACCAACATCTCAATAGCATATTCATTGAAACCAGTTGCTGAGAAGAAATGATGCAACAACTGCTTATGCAAGGATGACAAATGTTGCCCATTTCCTGTTGCAACAGCATCTTTGATATCTGCCAATATCATATATGATTTGATCATATTGACTGAATAGTGGCAAACACCATCACTTCCAAATGGACTATCTTCATTGTGATCATCACCATCCTCACCATCATCATCATCATAATCATTGACAAAAATGTACTGGTCAAGAAACTTGTCTAGCACATTTACCATATACTCTTTCTTCTGCAAAGGAGTTACTGTGAATGCCATGTTTGGAGCATTCTTGGTTGGTCTTTGGCTTGGATCATCTACCTGAAAAAACTCAGATAAAGCTTCCACAACATAACATCGCCCAACACTTAGAAAAAGCTGTTCGCAGTCTTCAAAATGTTTGACATCCAGTGTTACATTCCGACGGTTCAATTTCTCTCTAAAGTACCTTAATGTACCCTTCTCTCTTCCAGAATTTTTGTAGAGTCGATGGAAAATAGTCTATACCAAGAAAAATGTATGTAAAGATTAATGTTAAACACAATAAATTGGAATCATCTGTAGGGCCCCAGTCATTTCCTTAATAAGGGAGATTGTTATACATGCAGTAACAATCCACTTAATAAGAACAGCTTGGGGACTAGTTTATCACTGACAATGCTAAACATTTAAAAATCCTTTAGATACACTCGGCCTTTTCACCAAGCGAAGTGTTATTTCAAACATGGCCAAACAAACTTTTGAAAATGAAGAAAATGACAACCCATCATGGATTGATGTTTTTAACAGAGTTAATCAGTTACTGCAGATGATTAACGAAAAAGTCGACGATGGAAGGATATCCTTTCATGAGGCTTCTTTAATTTTCAACAAGCTTGAGACAGCTTTATCAATGGTTGTGAATCTTACCACATTGGATATCGATTTAACAGAGAACACTAGACTTGTACTACTGCAGCTTTCCCAGTGTTTGACAGAACTACACAACTACTGGGCAACTAGAATAGCCAATATAAGATGAGCGACAGACACTCTGCCCAATTTAAGAATTGAAAATGTCAGCATGTCAAGTGATCCAGGTAGATCATCTCTTTCTATACCAAAGGAAATTCTTGAAGACCTAAGGAATTCTGGGTACTAATGGACTGAAATTTCGAAAATTTTACTAGTATCGAGATGGACTGTACACCGTAAGGTATGGGAATATAATTTGCAACACCTTGACAGATTTTCTGACATATCTGATGATGAACTAGACCAGCTAATCATGGGCTATATATCGAGACATGGCAATACCACAGGTGAATCCTACCTTATTGGCTACATTAGATCTCAAGGTATTCGTGTTCAGAGAGACAGGGTACATTCTTCCCAAACGCGTGGTGATCCTGAAAATACTGCCCTTCGTTTGGCATGCGTAATTACTAGGAGAGTTTATACTGTCCTAGGACCAAATGCTCTCTGGCATATAGATGGTAATCATGCTTTGATTCGATGGAAGTTTGTGGTGCATGGGTGCATAGATGGTTTTTCCAGGCGGATAATTTACCTTCTATGTGCAGACAACAACCAGTCCGACACTGTTGTGCATGCTTTTGCCGCAGCAACTGACGAATTTGGTTATCCATCCCAAGTTAGAGAGGATCACGGAGGGGAAAATGTTCAAGTAGCGAGGTTAATGGAAAGAGAGACAGGTGAAGGGAGAGGAAGTTTTATTGCTGGGCCATCGACCAGAAATCAAAGAATAGAAAAATTATGGAGGGAGGTATTCTGTTGCTGTTTATATTTATTTTATTGCATATTCTATGCCATGGAGGAAACTGGTGTCCTTGATTTGGACAATAATGTCGATCTATTTCTACTGCATTATGTATATTTACCGCGAATTAATCATTCTCTTCAAGAGTTCGCAGCAGCCTTTAACAATTGCCCCATGAGAACTGAGAACAATTGGAGTCCAGAAGAAATTTGGGCAAATAGTTAACCTGCACCGTAGAACGAGAACGAACGAGTAGCCTCATTAACTGAACGAGAGTACGGTTCACAATCGTTCAAATAGATGGTTTCTATTGGCTAAAACAAGTTTATTATCATATTTGTTTGTAAACTTTAAGCCATAGCATGCATATTTTGGTCAGGTAATTTTGTGTTGTGATATCGTCTATATTATACGGTTACAACAAGGGGCATGCAACAAGATGACGATGATTGATGAACTGTAATGGTAACATCCCAAACTGAGGAATAACTAAGTTGAATAATATTATATATAGAACCCTGAGTATTTTACCGAAGTCGTCGATTCGTAAACTCAATTGAATTTTATAGTTACAGGTCGTGTTAAGTAGCCTCAATGCAATTATTACAACAATTCTTAAGCATTTCTTCATGTGTTTTAAGACATTTGCATATACGTGTATTTATATCAAATTCCAGGTGGATTTGCAATTGTGCGAACTACGAATGAGCTGTTTGAAAAAGCATGGCAGACGACGTAGAGGTTTTAAACATAGTGCTATTAAATTTGCACAACGCCGTTCAGGCAATATATTCAATGGAAGGAAGAGCAGACAAGCGAGATCGAAGCGACTGACGACAATTATTTGACTACGTTAGTCGCCTGTATAATGCAACTATATGATTTGTCTGCTATAATAGCAACGTGCACTCAAGCTATTTTACCAACAGCTCGTATTGAACAGATTCTTTCTCCAGATTTTTTCGGTTCAAACTTCCCTGGAAGGGATTTCTATAGTGAATTGAAAGGTGTGAACACTTGTTCTGAACTACGGGCAATAGCGTAGAATAATTTAGACGCATCGTTCAAAAAATGATCAAATTCGTCGTTATTTGTAGTAGCCTATAGAATGTACCTATAGAAATCAAATGCCTTTACTAAATAGTTCTTTGCTCTCTTACAATGAAATCAAGAAGCCTTCGTCTCACTGCACGCCGATTTCCAACATTTGCATATAGGTTCTGAACGTTATCAGGAAGTTCGGCAAATCTATCATGCCTTGCAATATCGTTTGCAATGACGTCCCAAATGGGACCATTCTCCATATACCGCTCATGAATTAATCGTCTTTCAACCTCACCTATGCGTCTTACTTGTCTTGCATTCATTTTTAAAAAAGTTAAAGAAATCCGGCCGCGAGCGATTTCAAAAAGATTGTCTCTTGCACAATGCAGCAAATAATTTAACTATCGTAATATAGCAGTTACTGCTGATTTGCATTTAAGTTTACTGTGGCTATGGAACTTATTATGATCCTGGGATTTGAATATACGTTTTAACTGGCATGTTATGGAAATTACAATAATATCACAAAGTCGAGTTAAACTTAACGCTAAATAGTTTCTATCACATGAAATTCATTTCTGTTATGATCACCTATTAGGTTCAAATAAAAAATGTGATGAAATTACAATTCTTTAGGCGTTTTCATGCAGTTACAAGATGTGAGATTTTTACGTGCGCATGCATGTGTATTGCATATCCCCAAATATATATCTAATGGTAATACATGTATGTGTGTATCTTCTTTACGGCCTTAAGTTAAGACTATCTTCCTTGATTGAATTAGCCGAAATGTAGTTTTTCTATCAGCACAACGACAGAAAAAAATATACAAGCATTACAATACGGTTGAAAACATGTTTAGTACAAGCAAGCGACTTTTTGTCGTTCATTCGTTCGTCGCTTTCGTCCATTCGTACATGTTTAAATATGCAAACCAATCAGCTTTTCGTAATTTCAATGAAAACATTAGCATACTTGCATATTCGTTCGTTCTCGTTTTACGGTGCAGGTTAACTAATGGAATGATAAATCACTCTGTTAGACAGCTTTTAGAAAGGCATGAAATTGAAAACATTGAACTATATGGCGTTGACTGGAATGGTCCTATTCCGGCCGAAAATCAAAACACTGTGGAGGTAAAACCACTGAACTGCCCATTTCCAATTGAGTACCTTATCAACTTCAAGATCATGTTAATCCGCAACAAGAATCAAATAACTATGGTATAGAACTGTTTACACAAGCGAAAGACTTTCTGAATGAACTGTTCGAATAGCAAAATTGTTAATGTTAGTGTAATTTTTGCAGTTTAAGCTTCGCATTTTCCGGAAACAGCAAACGGCAGAGTCAAAAGTTTTCCTTTATCATTTTTGTTTCATATTTTCCTTCCTGATTGTGCCTAGGGTTTTCGGAAAACGGGTCCATTTGCTCTTTATTGCATGCCTTTGAGGTGAATTTTTTTTCTTTGTCTGGCGTTTGTCGTTACATATATATCGTAAACTTAAACACTCTAATATAATGTGAACATTTAGTCATCAACAACAGCTCATCAACAGCTAACAAAATTAGGCAAGCAGAATACAAAAATGTTTTCTAGATGCCACAGATGTAGGATTGCCTTATCGGATTATCTATGTTGAAATTTACAAAATTTCTATATTCACTATATCTCGTACTACAAACTAAGAAAAAAGGCATCTATAAAAAAAGGTAACAGAATGTAAACGACTTAAAATGGGATACACTACACTGTAAGCTATTGTGCAACATCCAGTATAGTATCATACTCGTAGGCAGCCGAGCAAACAATGTTGATTGGGTGTTACAAATCAACATTGTTTGCTGGGCTGCTATGGCAGAGTTCAATGCACTTATTTCTTTGGCAACAAGTATCTAAGTGAATTACATACACCCACTTATACAGTTTGTTTGAGTCAAACTGTCTACGACTTTCTATCCATTCAACTTCAAGACTGCATCATGGATGTTGCCAAAAACAGCAATTTAACATAACATTAAAGAAACTACTTTATACTGACAGTAATTAGAACTGGATACTTTAAAGGATAAGTTCAACAATATTCATGGAAGAGAAAACAATTTATCTTTCCTGGTGGTGGAAATTACACCTAACACTGCTGCTTTAAATAGCTCATAACTTTCTTTGCTGAACCTTGATGGAAAAACCAGCTTGAATAGGCAAGTGGATGCAAAAATACTTGCCGCATCTGGTGATACTTCTACGACAATATTTTCCGTTGGTGGGGGAAGAGCGTAAGAACAGCCCGTTGAAAATTTTATGAACTTATCAATATCTAAAAAAGATACCATTATAGTGATTATTGATATAAATATGTATTGTGAGTTGCTAATCTCTACTTGCGCTCTAGGGGGCTGTGTTCACATGAGCCCGGTCACAGAGATTGAAATGAGTAAATAACACGATTCTGGTAGTCCTGTAATCATCCTCACAATAGCCTGTGATTGTTCTGTTTCAAGAAGACTTTTCAATTCTTCAAAACCATTCCACACTTCGTTAAATCTTGTTAACCGGGCTCATGTGAACAACTCCTAATTGTTCCATGCAATCTTCTGTTGTCTATAGGTAATTGAAAATTTTTCATGTAATTATTTACCTTCTTCAGAGCATTCTTTCACAAATCTCTGTAACATGTTAAACACTGCCAAACAACTAGCTTCAATCCCAGTTTCTTTCAACTTTAATAATCCCTTTAAATTTTCTCGTGTTTTAGTCTTGGCACAGTGAACAGGATGCTGTAAAAACTTGTCTAGATAACGTGTGATAACATCAATTGCACCAAGAGTTTTTAGACCACTAACGAACTGCTTCAACATAGGGACATTTTTCACTACAGCGCAATGTGCAATTATTGCTTGGACAACAGAAAGTCTATTTTTATTCTACAAAAGAAAAATATAAAATATAGAATCTATTCATCCTGTTTAATCAGCACAGCATTCATTTATGTTTTGGCATGTAGAATTAGTAGAAAAATAATTAACACTACTAGAAATACATGCATGCAGTAACCCCTCGCCGGTTCTTAATGCGATAACATAATTTCCAAAAATCGGTGAAAAATAAATTTAATTCAAGAAATATATAAATACAAACTATGTTACAAATTTACAATAATACAAAATTTACAGAATAATAAAAATAACAATTTACATATAATTTAAAACAATTTAAAAATTTAATCAATAACAATAGCCCCGTTTACATTACAGTCAATTTATCGGCACGGCACGGCTAAAATTGGTACCCGTACCCAATTTTATTAGTGTTTAGGCTACGAAAGCAAAGGCCGATCACAGATGAAATGGGCACCCATTTTAGCCTCTCCCTGCCGTGCCATTAATAAATCGAGTGTAGTGTAAACGGGACTAATATAACGTAAACGTGAGAACAACACGAGGCTACGTTGACATACAGTGATTTCTGAGCAGCTAGTTGAAAACAATATTGTCTCGTCTTTAATGTACTGATAGCTCATTGTTTTTTTAAATCTTATTCAACATTTGTATACCGGGCAAGATGTTCAACGGGGAGATTTCAATTACACTGTATATCAACGTAGCCTAATCTGCACGTTTGAGAAGTTCAAGCAAATCAAGCATTGAACTTCTCAAACGTGCAGTTTGTAAACTGCATTGTGGGTTTTGCCCCAGTTTTTTGTGCCCCCTGTCGCTGGGGACACACGACTTTCGTGTGGCCTCTTCGGCCACATAACCAACAAACAGCCCCTATAAATAAAAAATGTTATTACATAGCTTTGAGTTAACTGTGAATTGGTGATAGAACTGCAGAATAATTACTCGGGTCACCAGTTGGAGAAAGAAATAGCCTAAAACATTATTGTCATGTATTGCGATGGGCAGCGTCTATACTACCATCTACTATCTAAGAATAGCCCTGAAGCCATGATTATATTGTTTGTGAACCAGTGACGTAACAACTGACTATACATTACGTGACAAATCATAAGGTACTGTATACATACGTGCGTCGCATGTCGCCGCTCGGTGGCCACGAAGGCCACATTTGTAACACCGCCCTATTATCAAGAAATGATATCAAGAAATAATTGGTTTGCAGGCTACCAAAAATCTTGAGTTAACTGCATGACCATTATCAATTAAACTTTACTAACCTCTCATTTGTCCATGCAACACTAAAAAGACAAAATGTCATATTGAGCATCCTGACAATGCAATATTTGTTGAGTAGCATCAAATGGGAAAAACCGGAAACAATTGTTGTGGATATAATGAATCATACAGTACCTCTGCCTCTTCCCCCGAACCGCCCAGGGCGTGGGTCATTATCTAAAATAAATAAATAAAACAAACTTGGTTGACATATTGCATAAATCCATGTAATGATAGGAGGCAACCTTTTTAATTTTAGAGTTTTAAATTGATGACAAAAAACTTGAACATGCATCATCATCACTTAATACATAAAATTAGTAATATAGAACAAAGTAGCTGATACATATATACTGTCAAGGTTTGCATTAACTTGCAAGGCTTGAGAGTTGAAAATATAAGTTAGTTCATTTCAATATATATTAAGATGCAATTGCTCTACTATACCTTTCTAATCATAAAATGTTAAACAATATAGGCAGTATATACAAAATTTCAAAGAACATATCATTTTTGTGCATATTCAATCAGGGCCTTTCTTGAGGTGCATGACCATTGTCAATTGAACTTTACTAACCTCTAACTTGTCCATGTAACACTAAAAAAACAAAATGTCATATTGAGCATCCTCATAATGCGATATTTTTTGAGTAGCATCCAATGACAAAAACTGGAAACAATTGTTGTGGATATAATGAATCATACAGTACCTCTGCCTCTTCCCCCGAACCGCCCAGGGCGTGGGTCATTATCTAAAATAAATAAATAAATAAAACAAACTTGGTTGACATATTGCATAAATCCATGTAATGATAGGAGGCAACCTTTTTAATTTTAGAGTTTTAAATTGTTGACAAAAAACTTGAGCATGCATCATCATCACTAATTAATACATAAACTAAATAATACTGAACAAAGTAGATGATATATACCATTAAAATTTGCATTAACTTGCAAGGCTTGAGAATTGAAAATATAAGTTAGTTCATTTCAATATATATCATCATGCAATTGCTTCACTATACATTTATAAATGTTAAACAATATAGGCAGTATGTACAAAATTTCAAAGAACATATCATTTTTGTGCATATTCAATAAGCACATACCAGGCCTTTCTTGAGGTGGAGGATTCACTAGATTAAATGAAAGTATTTCAGTTGTGCAGGGGAAAGTATGCATCAATAAGTCACATCAATCACAAAACTTACTGGGTTGCTCATCTGGCCCCTGGGCCAGGTCAGGGACTGCCTCAAGTATTTCTATAGTGAAAGAAAATTTGCATGTGTTATCCTTTTAGTGCTATGTGAAAAGACATACAAATTAACTAACTGTGACAAAAATAATATTTCAAATAGTTTTTTAATCATATTTACCATCATCATTATCAATATCAATGTCTAAAATCCAAAAAATAATTGTTAAATTAGATTTTTGAACATTGGAAATGATCAACGACATTTTAATCAGTTGCTAATTTGTACATTCAGAGTGAAAGATATATAAATATGTGCCTATATACATACCAAGTACGAGTTCATCCTCATTTATATTCTCCACTAAAGTAGTTGGTAAAGTAGATGTACATATTAATACAATAATTGCACTACCAACATCATGAAAAAAAGTGCTTTGTTGAAATAATTTTGCATCTTACTTCTTCGTCTCCTTTAGATCTTTAGAGTATATATAAATATGCCATCAACATAAAAAATATATTGAGCAAAAAAAGTATGTAAAAACAACAGCACCATATAGCGTACTCGAGGCAAGCTCAAAAATCATAATATTCAAATATTAGTTTTGAAAAAAATATATCTATTGTAATATAAACAAACTTACATGTTTTAGATTTTTTTCAAAACTTCTTTTAATCTAAAATATAAGAAAAAATATAATATTTTCATTATTTCCTAAAGGTAAAGCGCATCAGCTATCAGGTTGCAAAAATCGACAAATTTATAAATGCTTTAAAAAACGTTTTGGCAGTTTCTTCCAAAAATGTTTCTCCTCAAATTTGTAAATTAAAATGTCAACAAGCGAGAAGTGTAGTATAATTTATTGGGCGAACTTCGAAATGTTCAATATTTTATAAAGTTTTTTATTATGAATATGACTTACCGCAGTCCAAACAGTGACACAGAACAGGACGATATTTTCGCGCGCTTTTTGAAATTTATGCTATACGTGGATTTTGCGTGAACTCTTTTTCAGTCACCAGGTAAATCGCGTAAACGCCTACACGCACGAATTATAAAGTAAAGAGTTTTGAACAGTGAAACGGTTGATTGTTTATATTGTATCTTACCTGATTGATGTTCTAATGTTTTTTAGTAAAACGAACAAACTTTAATAATGTAAATATCTGTACATGTCAACAGCCACCCTCAAAAACATAATACGTGAGATTGTCTAGTAACAGGCAATGACACATGTTTACATGATAAATTGCCCTCCTCAAAAACACAATAGAGGAAATGTCTGTAACAATTTTTTAACAAATTCATTTCCAAAATTGTGTCTAGTAACAGGCAAGTCTTTCCTCGAAAGCACATTGGTGCCCAGTATCATTGAACAATATATATGTAACAACACAAACTTACAGCACAATCCATCCACAAGATTTTCAATGTTTATGCCTCTGCTCAGTCTTTTCTGCAAGCACACGAAGTCGTCGTTCTGCTTCTTGTCGCTTCTTCAAATTTTTATTCCTACCAATGACTTTCAGACGATCAAATGTCATAGGTTCAAACACAATATCATGAATTGATCTTACCCTGGATGTTGCCACAAATGTGCAGCCAGCAACTCTCTCCCCTTTACCTAAATCAACAACAGCCTTGGTTAGTGTCTGTCCTTGGGACTTGTGTATCGTCATTGCATACCTCAGCCGCAAGGGCAATTGTTGTCTTGACAAATACTTTCCATCCGCCATCCACTCAAACAGTCTTGGAGGCACAGGTATACACTTTGAACATTCTTGTAGAAATGCAGGGCCAGAATATGCCGGAAAATGAACCAGTACTGCAATCGGTAGATTTGGTGGACCCACATTCTCCGCAAACCAAAATTGCTCAATAGTTCCAAAAGAGCCATTGCAAAGACCAACTTCTGCCCAAAGGTTACATGTCAGCATCATTCTGCTTTGGTTGACAAAAAGAGAACAGCTTCCAAACCACCTACTTCATCAGAGGTTGCCGCACTTGCACCCCGACCAGAATGCCTTGCTTGAATTTTGACCAATGGTTGTCCAATCTCTAGCAACTTTTCATAATTATATTTTTTTTTATCAAAGTACAGCCGAATAGCATCACTAAATCGATCCATTGAAACGTTAGGCCTGGAGTGCTGTATTAATAGTCTCCAGTCCATCTCGGTAACTTGTCCATCTCTCAGTCTCATCAATAGCGATCTGAATGCAACTACTTCTGGGTCTTCACCAATCTGTCGCATGACCTGCTCTAAAATGACTACATGATCAAATGTCAAATACATACTGTGACCATGGTCACTGATTACGGATCCATTACCTGCAATGTACATTGGCCTATCGCCTACAGGAGGTAATTGGCCAAAATCCCCCATTAGGATAACTGACATGCCACCAAATGGGACATCCTCTTTCCCTGTACCTGCACGTAGTCTGTTGTCAAGCCATGAAAGCATCTTATGTCCAATCATTGACATTTCATCAATAATGAGAAACCTCTTACCTTCCAATCTGAGTTGCAATCTCTGTAAGGAATCACCCTGTAATTCTCTGTATTCCCGAATCGGAAGTTGAGCTGCGGAATGCAAAGTTTGACCACCAATACTGAATGCAGCAATTCCAGTGGTTGCTGTCACAATACATTGGTCTTGCAATACTTGCTTTAGGGCACTAATTAAATATGTCTTACCTGTGCCAGCAGTACCACTTACAATCATATGTAGCGGTTCACATTCATCATTAGCCATGGATGCAGTGATAATGTCAAATGCCAGTCGCTGTTTGTCATTCAAGGTCCCTGGGTCAACCACCACTTGTTGGTCACCTGTGTGATACTGCATACCTTGCTCCTCTGCATCCCTTCTCTGTTTAGAAATCCATCCAGGAGATTCTCTCAACAAATCCCTGGCACGCCTCTTGCTGCTTCGAACCAATCCACTGCTTCGTTATTTGCCATTTGATTTCCTGCATCCTCATAATGTTGGTTGAGTCTACATAACAACATCCAATCCTCAATTTGCTCTTCCTCATTAGGTTGATCCTGTTCGTCATCGCTTTCATCACTACTTTCATCAGTTCCATATGTTTCATCTGTCTGTGCAGCATGGACCATCTCTGTTTCAATAGAATACCCAAATACATTGTCTCTAGCAAAATCTGTCTCAAGAAATGAAGCATATGTGTTAATAAACATATCATCAGTTTCCTCCATATTGTCCCATGCATTTGATGACTTATCTTCCCATGGTTTAAACTTAATGAGTTGATACTTGCAGTATTTCCAAAGGTAGGCTGCCAGGATTGGCTGTAACCTTTGGAATGTCCTGACATATAAGGATTCACTCGTTTTGTCAACTCACCTCTGACTTTGTGAACTGAGATGCATACTGCATCAAATTCAACTGAGATCCCCTATACCTACTCTCCACTTTTGTCCGCTCTCCATTCTTGAAGAACGATTCTGAAGTACTTCCTCTTGTGGATTTTCTGCATCAGGATCACTTTTCTACTGTTTTCTAAGAACAGTAACAAAACTATACGTACAGCCTACCAAAGGCAAACTGAGTAATATGGCAGTCTCCTGAGCAGCCATGTCTCGATCACCAGCAACTTGGATCATTGCTTTTGATTGCAGAAGCACTTGGTCATCATTCTGTATGAGATACAGACAACTTCAGTATGTCAGAAGCAGATTTTGATCGTGGTTTCCCCTTTTGCTGCATACTTGGCCATATATCTTGCACATGCCTTTTCATCCACATTACCTGTAATCACATTGGCCCGCCTTCTCAAGCATGACCCTGTTGTGAATTCGCCTCTCATCATTTCTCTTGGTTTGCAACTCTGAGTGTACAGATTTATTTTTCTTACCTCGTACCTCATAATCAGCGCAGTTTCCTCTTGTAATGGTTTTGGGAACCAATCTGCACTCTGCAGGCAGGTCAACCCTCTTCTTTTTCAGGCAATACGCTGGACTGCATCTGGTGTGCCTCTCTACTGAATTTACTAACCTGTGATAATCAACATCATTATCAACTGATGTGGCTTTCACCGCAGGGTGTGGATTGGTACTGTCCAGTTCTCATCAGGCAGATCATCATTAACTGTGGTCACAAGCCAGTCAACATAACTTTAAAAGGGATAAAAAGTAACAAATTGGTTAATACCTAATTGTATATTTTTTCTTTGCTGTTTACACTCCCAATTCCTTAACAATAGGAATTACCAATTCCTGAAAATATACGGAATTTGTTTTGTTTTGTGAATGTATGTGGAAGTTGTTTTTTAGATTTGCAACATTGCAGCATTTGTATGTATGCTAACCACTGATGCTAACTGTTACAGTGGGTAAAGTCTGGAAAAAAGTCTTATAAATGTTCCACAGCACATTGGACACAATCTTTGCAATCTATATGCATGGTGAGTGTAATTTAAACTACCTTTACTTGATGATTTACTTACCTAATTAGCTTTCTCTCGCATCTTGACCCTCTCTGACATCTCTGGCAAGAGAATTCAAATCATCAGGGGACATTTCATTTTCTTTCTCTTTCTCAAGCACTGCTTTACATGCACGTTTACGTAATACCGAATATCTGGATCTTCTTTAATTTAGCACATCCATGAGCATGTTACTTCCTCTGGCCTGATTTCAAACCTATACCAACCATTCAGCATCCAGACACCTTGAGCCAATGTTTGATAAACTCCTGTAGCCTTTGCATGAAGAACCAATCTGTCAGGTGCGATTGTCTATCACTGCTTGTGCTCTCTCTGTTCTTGATGCACCCTCATTACTTTGCAACGTCTTTGCAAGTCTGGCCAATGGCTGTCAGCTGCACTAAAGGTAAAGAAAAGGTAGGGCAACCTTTTTGTTCAATCAGGGCCAAGAGTTCTTGCAGTCTCTGATACCAATACTGATTTGTTCCTTGAATTTTTGAAACATAACGTTGCAACGATTTACCATTTGATTTGCACCCATAGAGTTTACCATTGTTTTCAGCTCCTCCATAGTCATGTTTGCATCGCTGGATGTTGCCGCAAGTAAATGTTAGCTTGTGACAACAGCTGATGCCTCTGCTTCATATTCAACGCCCAGTATGGGAACCGGGGATGTGAGGCAAACCTCCATTCAAACTTACCATTGGCGCCTCTCTGCAAACTTCATCAGGTGTTTGAATGCCTCTGCCAAACTTACCTCATGCTGCCTGACTCTGTTTGTCGGGTCACCTCTCCATGGGAATAGTGTTGGAATGCCATGCTTGCCAACATCTGTTTTAAATTCATTAACAGCATTACCTTCTGTAGATGGCCAGTCCAAGGGTCAACCTCATTCACTGCATCTTGGATAGCTGCACCATCCTTTCTTTGTCTTTGACGCATAGGAATAAATGATGTACTGCATTTCCTAAACTAATTCTTCAACTGTTGCATTAGCACTCATTTCAGGTTCTTGTGGGGCCCCTCATTTTCTGCATGAACTAAAGTTCCTGGTCATCAATAACATACCTTAGCTCCTCAGGGATACCATTCTCTGGTAGACTTTGGATAACATCCCTGTCAATTTCAATGTCTTTGAAAAATGGATTGTTTGTTTTCAACCACAATATAGCTTCAAACACCTTGTGTCGACGAACTGTGAAATCTTTATGTGTCTGATCAGCACCACGTCTCCGCACAATCATAACAGGCAAGTCAGCCACTTGTGCAGGACCTATTCAAGAAACTTTGAATATCCTGTGTGGTAAGTTTAGTACGTGGCCTTTATAACCCCTTTGCCCACCATATTTCTGTAGACTTTGATAGGGCAAACCCTTGAAATCAGCATTTCCTCTACTTGTGTCAACTCTCAACTGCTCAGGAACAATACCTGGGTCCATGTCATTGCCAGCACTGAATTTTTCGGGACTTCTTGTCTCTTTGACAGCGGTAACAACAAGGGATCTGCTGCCAGTTTTGCCTTGTTGGCCAAGCCTCTTTACAAATTGTACACTGGCGATGCTCTAAATGCTCTTGATCTAAATGAAACTGTGCATCTCTTCTGAACAATACCTGCTCATGCATGGGTTGTCAACATTTGCCAGCCACCTTCATGTAATATTGGTCTGAACTTACTGGTGAGGACCTCATCTCTAGCTACTGTTATTGCATTTTCATGCCTTACCTCAGATTTTGTGGCGGTACCTGTTGCATTTCATTACTAACCTGTCTCCAAAGACTTACCGCTCGTTGTCTCATTCTTTCAAGTCTTTTTTGTCTTTTTCCCTTACTTTCATGTTGCCTTCTTTCTCTGGCATTAGCTCTATTATGTTCTCTTTGCATCTCCCGTTTCTCCTCAGTACTTTCGTCAGTTCTTCGTCTGTAAGCAGCTCTTCGCATCCTAAGACGACGTTCTTTTTGTGTTGGCGTTTCTTGCAGCATCTTTTGTCGCCTTTCAGCTCTTAGCTCATTACCTTTTTTTCCTGTACTTGTTTCAGCTCTTCTTTTATAGGCATCCTCTTCTTTGCCAGCCGATACTGTCTTTCCTCCGGTGTTTCACCAACTAACACAGCTCGTCTTTTTTCCCTCTGTCTTGCACGCCTATCCTCATACGTTTCTCCCTTCTTTTTCGTCTCCTGCTTTCTAATGCTGTTATTGTCCGACATTTCCATGGAAATTGTCTTTCAGTGTTGTTTTTTTTTCAAATATAAAGCAATTGTTCACAATACTGTAAAGGTTTTTGTAATTTGCTTTTGTGAAAGAAATTAAATTCAAATTATAATGACAGTTAATTTACTCACGTAATTTTGTTTAAAAAAATTTAGGCCTTAGCCAATCATAAGCTAGTTAGTTACCAGCTCAAACTCGTCTTAAACTCACGCATGCGCATAACTTACAAAAACGCCCAACGTCCATGACATAATGGCGGACAACTTTCATTTCGCATTTGCATTCCCGGGCGTAATTCCTAATCTCCGGGCGGAATTAGTACCCTCGCCCGGTGCTTCGCACCGGCTCGGGGATTAACTTTTAAAACTAAACATAATTGATTCACTAGCCTTTAAAATAACCAAAGTAAATTTTGTTGCAGTTGAACTAAATCGATCAAAACTTACTGTGACTTGACATTGCAATCCAGAGTTTGCAAGCAGACTTTGAAACTCAAGTGACTGGTTCATTATGTCTAAATCAGACTTTTTTGACATCATGATCTGTTGGTAGAAATACCAAATACTCTCTTTATTTCATTCAAATTTATGATTCAAGAGAAAAACCTAACACAACTGCCAGGCACAACCAGAGGGATGCCTTCAAACAGGGTATTTTGCCCCAGGCAAAAAATCAATGTTAGAAATATGTAGTCCTCTTTTCTAAGTTACACTGATAATAAGTTCTGCCCAGGTTGGTAGGTCAGGTAAAGCAATATATTAGGTTTAATATTGTAAAGAATGTAACCCCAAAATGAAGAAAATTACATTTTGCAGCTATTTTGCCCTTGGAATTGCAGTCTTAATGGGAATTTTCCCCCTGGCCCCAAATTTCTTCCTAGTACCCCTGATCACAGCCAAAGAAAGCATGTTAGAATAAGTAACTCCAAAATGTTCTGAAAAAATATAGCTCTGCAAAGTTCATAAAAGTAAATATTTGTGCACAAAAGTATATTTAAAGGGCTGGCTTAAAGCAAACTAAATTAGAGCATGTTTTTTCATGAACTATTATGCTATATGTTTTATTCACATTATATTAACTTTATTACAATATTTACCTGTTCAACATAAGACTTTATCTCATAATCATGAATGTCATGGATAGATGCATATGCAATGGCTTTATTGATATCTCCAGTAGCAACATAATATTG